TGGGGGGAGGATGCCTTGGGAGGGCATTTTGGAAGAGGGAGAGGCTGCAGGAGAGCAGGAGCCCCTGGGAGGGGGCTGTGGGGCGAGAGGGAGGGGGTCTTGGGGGGGGGGTTGGGGTGGGTACTGAGGGGGCATGCCAGGGCTGCTCCTAGGCCTGAAGGAGTGATGGGGGCCAGGGAGACCTGGTCTGTAGCTGGGCACCTTGGGGTTATTGCACCTGGGGTGTTCCTGGGGTGGCTGCAAGGAGGAGCTGGGGTGAAGAAGGAGCCTGTGTGCAGGAGGCTGCTGCCAAATTAGGCAAGAATTCCCTTCTTGGAAGGAGGATTTGGCACCCTGGAGGCTCTGCCCCCGAGGGCTTTTCCTCCTTCCTGCCCCCTCCATCCCCCCCCGGTCTGTCGGCACAGGAGAACGAGTTCTGGGTTGCTGATGTTCCCTCTCCTGGAGGGGATCCAGGGCATCGCCACCAAACCAGAGGGAAGAGACAAAGGACTCTCCTGTGCAGGCACAGGCGTCTCGGGCTGAGCAAGCAGCAGCTTGAGCTGGGTGGGGAGCGGGTGTAGTGGTTTTGTTTGGGGTTTGAGGAGGGGAGGAGGTGTGCGTGCCTGACTGCGCAGCCAGTGAGACTTCCCAGGTGTTGTGCAACCTCTGTTTTCTTCCTCTTTCTCATCCTCCCTCCTCCACTACAAGCTCTTCTGTCTTCATCCTGTTGCTGGCAGGGTGGGGATGCAGATGGGGTGAGTCAGCCCGGGGGTCAGCTGTGTCTGAGAAGCTGGGTGGTTTGTTTTTCCTGTGGAGCTGTGGCAGGCAAGTTTGATGCTTCAGAGTCAGGTTTTATCTCTTCACTGAAGTGGAGTCTTTTTCCATAGCCTTGTTTGGCACTAGGCCCTTTGAACTCTCACCCTTTCGGCCGCTCATGCTCCTGTTTTGCACCTGAGAGCTGCCAGGCTCAGCACTGTTGGGTGGCAGTAGATGAGACTTTCTGCATAAGAGGAGAGTGAAGGGGCTGCATCTTCTTCCAGCTTGTGGGAACGTTGGCCTGTTCGTGTACAGCAAAGCAGGGTTGCTTTCCAAGCCCCCTTCGGGATCGCTCTGCCTCTGGCTGGTTTTGTTCTGCTCCCCCCGTGGTACAACAATGGGGATTATTCTGCGGAGCTCAGCTGTTTGGCCAGCGCCCAGCACGGGGCTGCGCGTTGCTGTGTGCGTGTGCGCTGCCCTGGGCTGCCTCGAGCTCCACGTGCACACAAAACACGCCCGGCCCCAGCCGCTGCATCGCTTTTCCTTCTTTCCAGCCCTTGTCCTGTGCCGCAGAACACAGAGCGGTCGGACAAAGGGCCAGCCTGGGAGGCAAGGCAGGAAGATGTCTCTGCCTTCTACACTAACCTCGTAACGGCCGTGAGCTGACGACTGGGTCTGGCAGCATCTGCTATTGTTGAGGCTGTGATTCCAGAAGCATCTGAAGCCTTGTTTGCAGTTGCCCTCCTGAATGGGGCCCATGCCGGGCTCATTCTGTGGGTGAAGAGCGATCCCAGGTCCCTGTCGCCTGCTGCTGGGCAAAGCTGGGGTAGTTCGCACTGTCGCTTCACCACTCCAGTGTCTTAAGTGCTCACGCTTAGGAGCAAGAAATGTTCAGGGAGTTGTTGTGTGTTTTAAAGCTTTACCCTTTTTCTGTTTGTTTCTGGCCGTGGGCTTTTTTGGGAGCAGCGGCTGAATCTCAGTCGGGAAGTTTGCTTCCAGAGCCTGGAAACACCCGAAAGCTGAAACGGCCACTGCAGGTGGTGCCACAACATGGGGAGAAGCTGCCCCCCTCCTCATGGGGTGCCTGGCGCTGGTGGGCTGGGGCAGCAGCTCCCTGGGGAGGACGGGGATGTCGCTGCACATTTCCGAGCCACCGTGGGCTTCGTCTGCTCACTCGGAGGCCAACAGCAGCCCTGTCTTTTTGGCCTGCCTCAATACCTCGGGTGTTGTGGCCATTGCCTGCAGGAGAAGCCCGTGGCGGGCCGGCTGTCTCTGCTGGCATTGGAGTCGTGGGCTGCGGCGTGATCTTCACGTGCTTTTATTTTTAGCACCTCAGCTACATGCTGCGGCCAATTTTGACTTGGTCTCTTTTTTCAGTGATGATGGGCTATTTTTAGAGACCCAGTGTGTTAATGGGAGCGCTGAGCACCTGATGCTTCCTTCCCCGTGAGCTCTGAGGGGTAAACAGCCTTTTCTCTGGTGGAGTGGCCATCACGTGCCAGCAGGACGGGGGATGGCCCCCAACTCGCGCTCCGGCTCTGAGCGGTGCTTGGCTTGTTCAGGCGCGCGGCTCCTCTGCCGCCTTACAGCCACGAGGCCCTCGCCCTGCCATCGTTTGCCGTGTGGAAGCAGCCAGCCCTCGGTGTCGTCACCCTGTGCCGAGGGGGCGGTGAGCGTGCGAGGCACGTGCCAGACCGGCACCGCAAGCTGCTGCACTCCGCCTGTGGCCCGCTGCCTCCCTCCGTGTTGGAGAGCAGGGGGCTGGGACAGGAGGGCCCTGCTGGAGAAGGGGTTATGGGGCAGGATGGTGGTGAAGGAGCTGCCACAGCTCGCTGCCCCATCCGCTTGCCTTCCTCTGCGCGATGGCAGGGCAGCCACGCTGCCGGTGTCCTGCCTGCGGAGCCGGCAGCACAGAGGCTCTGTCTGTGCAGGAGCACAGCCGGACTTGGCAGAGGTTCCTTTTCCCTGGTGGTGTCGGGAGGTCTGTGGTTTCCTTCCCTTCCTTCTCGGACGCTGCAGCTCACTTCTCCTTATTGTTTCCTTGCAGGCTCGTCTCCGGTTTCCCATTGACTACCCCTATTCTCCTCCTGCCTTTAGGTTCTTAACCAAAATGTGGCACCCCAATATCTACGAGGTAGGTTGCCTCAGACAGCGTGGGGCATTTTGGATGGGCCATGCCTTTGGCGTTTAGTGCCTGGCACTGGGAGTGCAGCTAACGAGCTTGTGACAGCCGGTCTCCTGTCTTGGAGCTAGCTCCAGGTCAGCCAGGCTTTCCAAGCTTGAAGGCTCCCACGCTTCGCTAGCGGGGATGTCGTGCTTGCGCCAGGGGTGGATGCAGAGCGAGCGATGTGCGTGGCCTCGTGCTTGCACTGGATTGCTGCCTGGGGTGCGTGGGGTTGGGCTGTGCCAGGCGAGCGCCGGCAGGGCTGTGCTGGAGACTCAGGATGCTGTGGCACTGGGGAGGTGATGGTCAGGCAGCCTTGTCCGTACCGTGCTGGCAATCGTGGGGTGCTTAGCCAAGGCCTGAGGCTGTGGGCAGCGTAGCGGGGACCACCGCTCCTGCTGTCCCTTCCTAGGGACTGAAAGAATGGGCTGGGATTGCCTCGCCTGGCCTAAACCAAAGTGAAGAGCAAGCAGGCTGCTGGGAGCGGAGGACGGAGCTGGTGCTCTAGGATGCTCCTAAGGATCCTGTCTCACTTGTGCTTTCAGACCGGCGATGTCTGCATCTCCATCCTCCATCCACCCGTGGACGACCCGCAGAGCGGGGAGCTGCCATCTGAGCGGTGGAACCCCACCCAGAATGTGCGGTAAGGGCTGTGTGGGGAGGCAGCTGCAGGCAGGAGGCTCGTCCGAGGGCAGGGATGGGGAAGTGGGGAGATGAGGACTGCCTTCCGCTCCCAAAGACCTGCGGGAGAGGCCTAAAGGCTGTCAAAAGGCACCTGGGCTGCGTGCTTTGCTGAAGAACAGCTAGACCTTGCAGGAGAACGTGCGTGAGCCTGGCAGCCCATGCTCTGCTGTCTTCTGCCTGGCCTGCTTGACTTTGCCCAGCTACCCCCTCGCTGGGGAGCCAGCACCAGGCTGTCCTCCTGACCCACGGGACACAGCGGCGCTGTGACACTGAGCCTGCGGGCATTGCCGGGACGCAGGCAGTTGCTGACCCCCCTCGGCTCTTACCTGCTCGTGTTTATTGATTGCCAGGACCATTCTCCTGAGCGTGATCTCGCTGCTGAATGAACCCAACACATTTTCTCCAGCCAACGTGGACGCCTCTGTGATGTACCGCAAGTGGAAGGAGAGCAAGGGGAAGGACCGGGAGTACACGGATATCATCAGGTGTGTGCTGAGCTCAGCCCAGGCCCAGCAGTGCTGTGGCACTGTCGAGAGCGCTTGCTGAGCTGCGATCTCGGAGGTCACGGGATCTCGAGGGATTTTGTTGAGTCCCATCTGCAGGCTGGTGGGAAGGAAGGATTCTGGCTCCGAGTGTGGCTTTTGGGAGAAGCTTGGCTGGGTTATGTGCCCAGGTTTGCTGTCAGCTGAAGCCCTGGCCCTTTTCAGCTCCAGAGGATTTGGGTTTGTAGCAGACGTGGTGCCAGCATGGCCTTGCTGTCAGGACTGTCCCATGGGACTGGCATGTGAAGGTCCTGAGCTGCAGGCTGGCCAGCCCTGGCGTGGCAAGGGGGGCCCTCGGAGCAGGGGGCACGTTACGGTGCAGCCACGTTTACTCGTGGTGCTCTCCCTTCCCTGCCCCTTCACCAGTCTTGTGTGGGTCAGCGACGCGTGAGAGGGGAAGGGTGGTGTCACCGGGTGTCCCTGCGGGGTGAGCAGCAGGCGGCCATGTGGCTGTGCTGTGCAAAGCTCCGTCCTCACCCCCTGCTTCTTGCCCTCCAGGAAGCAAGTCTTGGGCACGAAGGTGGACGCTGAGCGGGATGGTGTGAAGGTCCCCACCACGCTGGCGGAGTACTGTGTGAAGACCAAGACTCCAGCCCCGGATGAGGGCTCAGACCTCTTCTATGATGACTATTATGAGGATGATGAGATGGAGGAGGAAGCAGACAGCTGTTACGGTGATGAGGATGACTCTGGCAATGAGGAATCTTGATGGCCCCCAGCATTGCAGAACTTACTGTAAACTACTGAATTTTACCTCAACTAGGACAAACTGGTTTGAATTTAGGATCTTTCAGCCCTGAAATTAACTCTCTACCTCGCAGGGAGACTGTTCTGCTGTTGCAAAGAAATCCCACCACTGTCTTTGTAGAAAAAGCAAAAAAACAAAAACAAGCCCTATTTTATAAACTTCCTGGGTGGGGGGACGGGTGGGGAGGGGCAAGTTGCGTTGGGGTGTTCACAAATCCACAGAAACCAGAGAGCTGGTGGCTCTGGCTGGATGAGGAGTGACGGCAAAACCTGGTGTTGGCTGCCAGTCGTTTGGGCGCGTTCAACCCCTCGTCAGCTCCGTGTGGGAGGAATGGTTGGGGGAGGCTGTGGAGCCGGTGAGCGGTCGCTGTGGGTGGGAAGCGCGTGAGCGCTGCGTAGCTTTCTACGGCCTCTGAGGTGTCGGAGCAGGAAGGGCTGCGGGGTGAGCACTGCCACCCTCTGCCCCTGGTGGGACCCTCCTGTGACGAGGGAGCACTGTGCACAGCGAGTGGGATGGGAAGGGCTGGGACATGGGGCAGGTGGTGCCTGGCAGCTGCCTGGCACTGCAGGGCACGGGGATGGGCTGTTTGTAGTTTTTAATGAGCTGGGAGGGATGCGGGGTAGTTCTGAGTCTTTCTGCTTCTGTTTTTTTGGTTTGTTTTTTTTTTTTTTGAAACTATTTAATAAAGTACTTCAAGGGAACGGCTGTGTGGTGCGTGGGTGAGGCTCTGCCCCGGTCTGTGCCCAGGCTGGGGGGTTTTCTGTGTCGGCTGTGGACCAGCTCCTGCCCTGCACCCCTGGCTGTGTTTTTTTTTCCCCCCCTGCTCCTTCGAGACCAGCCGTGCAGCACGGCCACCTCGGCAGGCAGCAGACCTGCCCGGGCAGCACCAAGCGGTGGCCGACGGGTGCCTGGGGCCCTCGTGGCTGCTCTGATCCAGGTGCAGCTGGGTGTGCCCTGAGCCCACAGGCCAGGGCTGGCCGGGACGCGTGAGCTCTCGAGGCTGTGGTGAGCTCCCAGCTGCCCTGCTCCAGCCCAGGGGCATCGCTGGTGCGGGGTCCGGCTGGGCTGGGGGGGTCGGCTCTGCTGCCAGCTCCTTGGGGCCGTGGCAGGGATGAGCCCCTGGCAAACCCCCTGCCTAGGGCTCTCTGTGAGCCCTGCGGGGCTCCTGCCCCTGCTCCCACCCCCCTGGACAAAGCTCGTCAGAGGGGTAATGGGCAAAATTTCTTCCCCTGGGGCTGTGCAAAGGGGATCAGGGTTTGAGTGGTGACTGCACGGGGTGAGTGCACGTGCTTTGTTGCCTTAGGAAATGAGGCTGAAGGGTGAATAGGATTATTGTCGCTTTACTCAGGCAAATGGCTTCCAAGGTCACCTGGCCAGCACAGAGCAGTGGCAGCCCAGGCTGCTGGTTTGGAGCTGAACCCTCCCACTTCCTTTTCCTGGGGGGCTGCTCCACACACCCCCTGCAGCTTCCTGCACCCTAGCTGGTCCCCAGCCACAGATATGCCCACCAAATGGCTGTACCCATGTGCCCCCTGCCTTTGCCAGCTCCTGGCAGGCAGTTACCTCCCCACTGCACTTGGGATGCTGCTGCAGGTGCTGGGGCAGCAGCACCGTGAGCTGTCACTGCCTGCGGATCCAGGAGCGCCCCAGCCTTGGCCCTGCAAAACCAGGCAGCTCAGAGAGGGGCAGCTTCCCCTTGGAAGGTTCTGGGGCCCTGCACAGCCCCTCTCCCCCAGCCTGGATGGCTGAGACCTCTTGGCTGTGCTGGCTGTGAGACGTGACATGCTGGGGGCTGCCCCGGGCAGGCCTGGCTCCTTGGGCAGAGGGTGCTAGAGGCTGCCAAACTCTGTCCCGTTTCCACCCCATTTCTGTACCGCAGGAGCTGCATCTGCCAAATCCCCCCAGTGCAGCAGGGAGTGTGGAGGGGTAGCGTGGTGGATGGGAGGGGGCAGCTGGGCAGGACGTCCCGGGGGGCAGACTCAGTGCTTGGGAGAAGAAACGCTCTGGGAGAATTCAGCAACTTCCAAGAGCTGGCAGATCCCCACGGAGAGCACGTCGGGGACTGGCGCCGATGGCCCCATTGTTTCATCTCTTCCTG